GGGGGGGGGGGGGGGGGTTCAGATTCCGGATCGCTCGGTTGTCCGATTGTAGTGATTCAAAAGCCTTTGTCTTCAGAACGACGTCGTCGTCGAGGGTACGGTGTTGGTTTCTCTGCGGGAGTTGGAGATTTTTGGTAAGACGGGTTTTAGGGTTTTGTTGCTCTAGAGGTAACACTGTATTTTCTCTTGTGATTTAATCATCAAGTTCAGGCGTAACTTGGAGGGATTGTACTCTTGATTTATAGTGAAATATTTCTCTCTGGATTGCCCCGTAGACGTAGGCACGATTTACTGAACCACATTAAATTTTGGTATTTGCTTGCTTGTGGTATTTTCATTGGTGTCGTTATTCGTTTAGTGTTTAATTCCGCAAGTTAATCTTCATAAAATTCCCAACAAGTGGTATCAGAGCACTGGTTTGAGTCGTGCTTTGGGATGAAAAAAGATGGAGAGTTTTGGCACAATGATGAAATTGGATGGTTCCAATTGGCAAGTATGAAAGTCCAAGATGAAAAATATTCTGTATCGTAAAGATTTACATGACCCTATTGAGGGAGATGAAGCTAAGTCAGAAAAGATGACTGATAAAGAATGAGGAAAACAACACAGTAAGGCGATCAGTTATATTCGGATGTGGATCGATGTTAGTGTGTTTCATCATGTATCGGGTGAGACTAATACGAAGTCTCTTTGAAAGAAGCTTGAGGATCTCTACGAGCAGAAGATCGCGAGAAACAATGCGTTTATTATGAGACGGTTGGTGAACTTAAAATTCAAAGATAGAAGCAACATAGCAGGGCACTTGAATTAGTTCAAGAGTTTGATTAATCAGTTAGTTACCATGAAGACGACTATCGATGATGAGCTACAGGTTTTATTGTTATTGGGTTCTTTGTCAGACAGTTGAGAGACACTGGTTGTGACAGTCAGCAACGCAACTCCAGATGGTGTGTTATCGATGAGTATGATTACTAGTAGTTTATTCAATGAAGAAACTCGGAGGAAGTCTACCAGCACAAATAACTCACAGGCACTTGTCACAGAGAACAAGGGCAGGAGTAGATACAGTGACCAGTCCAGAGGTCGTGGCACATCCAAGGGCAGATCAAAGTCTAAAGGGAGAGGTTTTTTTTATTGTGGGAAGTCAAGTCATATCGGGAAGAATTGTTGGGCATTGAAGAAAGAGCAAGCTGAGAACAAAGATGAAAAGAAAGATGAGAAGAAGAAAGCTGACAGTGACACTACAGCTACTTTGTCTGAGATCGATTTTATTCCCATTTGTAGAGAAGAAGATTGTATGTATGTTGCAAGTCAGAATTCCGAGTGGATAGTGGATACATGAGCTACATGTCATGCTACATCCAATCGAGACATTTTTACGTCATATAAAGTAGGTGATTTTAGCAATGTGAAGATGAGCAATACCAGCTACTCGAAGATTGTCGGACTTGGTGATATACACTTGCAGACAGATACCGGATGCACATTGATCTTAAAGAATGTGCAACATGTTCTCAATTTGCGGCTCAATTTGATTTTGAGTCTTACTTTGGACCGAATGAGATATGAAATTTAATTTGGTAGAGGAAAATGTAAGATCACCAAATGCTCTCTTGTGGTGACTAGAGGAAGCGTATGTTGCAATTTATACAAGACTTAAGCGAAGGCTTCATATGATTCTTTGAGCGTGGCTTAAGACGGTGACACTTTCGATTTGTGGCATAGGAGGCTCGGGCATATGAGCGAGAAGGGGTTGCAGATATTAGTAAAGAAGTCTCTCATTCCCTTTGTCAAAGGTTCGTCACTCACCCCTTGTGATTATTGTTTATTTGGCAAGCAACATAGAGTTTCTTTTAGTAAGCCTTCTAAAGAAAAGATAGTAGCCTGAATTTGATTTATTCTGATGTTTGTGGTCCTATTGAGGTGGAATCATTGGTGACAATAAGTATTTTGTCACATTTATTGATGATGCATCACAGAAGATGTGAGTCTTCTTGTGGAGGACAAAGGATCATGTGTTTTCAGTCTTCCAGCAGTTTCATGCTATGGTGGAGAGGCAGACATGAAAGAAGTTAAAGTGTTTGCGCACCGATAATGGAGGAGAATACACTTCCATTCAGTTTAGAGATTATTGCTCCAAACGTGATATTCGACATTAGAGGACAAAGCCCGACACACCGCAACATAATGGAGTTGCAGAGAGGTATAATAGGACCATTGTGGAAAAAGTCAGATGCATGTTGAATATGACAAAGTTACCTAAGAGCTTATGGGCTGAAGCTGTTCGCACTGTATGCTACATAATCAATTTGTCTCATTCAGTTCCTTTGGGTTTTGATATTCCAAATTTGGTCTGGAAAATATATTTCATATTCTCATCTAAAGGTGTTTGGTTGCAAGGTGTTTGCACACATTTCGAAGGAGAAGAGACAGAAACTTGATGATAGAAGCGGTTCCTTACATCTTCCTTGGTTATGGAGAAGATGAGTTCTGCTACAAACTATGGGATCCAGAAAAGAGACGAATTACTAGACGAGCAGATGTTATTTTTCAGGAGGATCAAACTATTGCAGATCTCGGGAGAGCAGAGCAGTCAGAGAATGTTGCTAGTGAGATTCCAAATACGACACCCGTTTCATCTCCAATACAGTTACATCTTACAGATATAGAGCAGGTGCATGATGATAGTGTTGATGATGATAGTCATATACCAGAGCAAGGAGACGGTGATCAGGATCACGAGTAGGAGGCTCCTCAGCAGGGGGAGGAGCATCACTAGCAGCAGGAGTTTGTAGAGCCATAACTTAGAAGATCATCTAGAGAGCATCGACCATCCACGAGATATCCTCTTTCAGAGTATTTTTTGCTGATAGAAGAGGCGGAGCCAGAAAGCTTTCAGGAGGACATACTCATAAAGACAAAGACAGATGGTTCCAGGCTATGAAGGAAGAGATGGAGCGGTTCCTTGCATCTTCCTTGGTTATGGAGAAGATGAGTTCGGCTGTAAACTATGGGATCCAGAAATGAGACGAATTACTAGACGAACAAATGTTATTTTTTAGGAGGATCAAACTATTGCAGATCTCGGGAGAGCAGAGCAGTCAGAGAGTGTTGCTAGTGAGATTCTAAATATGACACCCATTTTATCTCCAGTACAGTTGCATCCTACAGATATAGAGCAAGGAGACGGTGATCAGGATCACGAGCAGGAGGCTCCTCAGCAGGGGGAGCATCACTAGCAAGCAGGAGTTTGTAGAGCCACAACTTAGAAGATCATCTAGAGAGCATCGACCATCCACGAGATATCCTCTTTCAGAGTATTCTTTGCTGACAGAAGAGGAGGAGCCAGAAAGCTTTCAGGAGGACATGCTCATAAAGACAAAGATAGATGGTTCCAGGCTATGAAAGAAGAGATGAAGTCTTTTGAGAAGAACGATACTTATGAGTTGGTGGATTTGCCGAAGGACAGAAAAGCTTTGAAGAACAAGTGGGTGTTCAAGTTAAAGAAGGATGGCTACAAAGAAATTCAGAAATACAAAACTAGATTAGTGGTGAAAGGCTTTGGTCAGAAAAAGGGGACATTGATTTTGATGAGATTTTTTCACTGGTTGTGAAGATGACGTCCATTAGAGTAATCTTGGGGTTAGCAGCTAGTTTAGACCTCGAGATTGAGCAGCTTGATGTGAAGACTACATTCTTTCATGGTGATTTGGATGAAGAGATCTACATGGAGTAGCCAGAGGGTTTTGAAGTGAAGGAAAAAGAGCACATGGTTCGCAGGTTGAAGAAGAACCTCTATGGTTTGAAGCAGACACCCAAGCAGTGGTACAAAAAATTTGATTCTTTCATGTTGAGTCATGATTACTAGAGGATAGTTGCCTATTCGTGTGTATATTTCAGGAGAATTTTAGATTCTAGCTTCATTATCCTTTTGCTTTATGTGGACGACGTGTTAATTGTTGGTCAGGATAGTCAGATAATCGGTGGGATAAAGAAGAAGTTATTTAAATCTTTTGATATGAAGGATTTGGGATCGACATAGCGGATTCTTGGTATGAATATTGCTCATGATAGGAAAGCCAGGAAGT